ATTGCTATTTGGAGAGGTGAAGTATTTGCCCAAAGGTCATTGCCAGTGTAAGGGAAAGGACAGAACTCAGACCTGCCTCATTCTGGTCAGCTTTTCCCAGGGGCAGATTGCCCCTTTCTCTTCCTCCCTGCCCTGTCCGTGCATTACAGACACCTAGGAGTGTCTGGCTTCATGGGTTGAATGTAGCCTTCACAGTGCAGTCCCCAGGTTGGGAGACACTTTCTTGTCCCATATACAAAGGCAATAAATACAGGACAATTGTTATCTTCAGTGATGCTCCCAGAGACAAGTGTGACCCTCTGGTTCCATGAGAGTCTGTGGGTATAAGCTTGTGTGAGACTGTGAATAGAACCTTGTGTGTGCTCCTGACTGTGCAGTTGTGTCTAGGACTTGTGTACTTGTATGCTGTTGAGCTAGAGAGGCAGGGTGATGACTCTCAGAGGCCAAGGCTCCTCATTCAAATTTGGTGGCATATTAGCCTCTTCCTCCACTTCCAGGTCCTTTTTTTATTGGTGACACTTGATCAGGATCAAACTTTGTTCCCAGGCATGTCAGAGTTGGGTCCTGCAAAGTCTGGCACAAATTCTTCCTTTTTCTTACCTCACCCTGATCTTGTCACTACTCAAGTAGCACCCTCCGAGCTAGATCACAATCATGTATTCTTCTTCCTTCTCCATATCCAGTCCTATTCTAGCTTTCTCACCCTCCCTCCACCCCCAGAAACTGGCCCAGGGTGACTGATACTGTGGTGGAGATGTGCCCTACAAGCCCCAAGGGCCAACACAGTCAATGCTTGAAGCATAGAAAAGAATGTGGGCTTAGGAGGCAAAGGAGCTAGAATTCCATATGAGCAAGACATTGAGCCTCAGTTTCCTTATCTGTAAGATGGAGATGAAAACCTCTTACCTCAAAGTGTTAAGCCATTTGAAGAGCAGCTAGCCTGGTGCTACATATTAATCCCAAGGAATGGCCTTCCTTCTCCTCTATTTGGAACCAAGTTGCCAAGGTCACCTGATACTCCTGCCTCTTATCTTCCCCTGCATCCTTTGCCCTCCTGGGGCACCCCTTCCCTCCTGGACATGTACAGCCCATGGCTGAGAGTGCACTTGACCCCACTGCTACACGGTCATTACATCACAACTCTGCCATAGGTCATTTCACTCTGAAGCCTTCAGTCCCAAGCTCTCATTGGCCAAGGCCCCCTCACATGGTAAGCAGCTGGTACCCTGGCCCTGGGACCTGTTATCCCAGGCTTGTCCACTCATGGCCTCCTTGGAGTCAGTGTTCACCTCCTATTCCCCGTCTAACCCAGGGCTCCAGGAGGAGCTCCTGGGGCACATGGCAGGTGCTCCAGCTATGACTACTTCTCTGTACTTAGGATGTGAAGTTGCTTCAGTGGCTGTGCCTCAGAGTTAGGGAGGAGGAGGAAGCTGCTGTTCTGTGGAGTGGGAGCAGATGGTGAATGAGCTCTCCATCTCATCCATGCCAGACTGTGGGGATGGTACTGTTGAGCAAACAAGTAGGCACACCTGCTATCCACTCCACAGCTGCCCCTAGAGCATCAAGGGCAGGAACCGACCCATCTGGGGCCTGGGGTAGGGAAGGGATCTCAGCATAAGAAGCCTGAATTGGACTCAGGTCATCAGTCTTCAAGTCCCAAGTCAGCACCTGCTGTGTGTGACGCTGATCACTCAGAGCCTTGGTTTTCTTCTCTAAAATGGGCATCATAGGCCTACCTCACAGGATCTGACTCCATGGCCACCCCTTTCTTTTCCTTTTCTGGAAAAAAAGAGGAATAAAGAGTTTGGTACCAGGAAGATAAAATAGGAGGTAGGGTAGTAGACTGGGTTGAAAACTTAGAATTTTCTTTGGCATTGGAGAGAACTGGATTCTATTCTGGACTGAGATAGCCTCACGTTTGTATCTATACTTATGCTGTCTATTGATCAAGTGCCTTTTTACAGTACACAATGAATACAACAGGTGCAACCCTGAGAAAGTCATGGTCCCTTAGACCTCTCTGAGCCTCTAAGCTTCAGTTTACCCATGTATAAAATGGGTTGTAGTTATTTCTTACATATTCTTAGAGCTGCTAGGTTCAAATTCATTCTAATGTCTACTGTAAGCATTTGTGGGTTTCTAGAGGTTCCTATAGAAACCAGCGATTATTATAACCTCTAAAAAAACATTTACAAGTTTTAGAGGTGAGGCTTTGGAGTGTGGGCCACACCCCTTTCAAGGTCACACAGAACCGTAAGTCTGCAAGCTCCTACCTGGCTCTATTCCAGGCCTTACTGCTAACGTTAGCTTGGGCCTATGACATGCAGGCAAATGGAGTTAGGCCTGAGGGGACTAAGCTTTAGTGGACCCAACTAATGGGCACATGAGAGCCACAATAAGGGACCCACACAAGGATGTTAACCTCCTGGCCCAGGTCAGGCACTGGAGTGAGTGTTAGCTATGAATTGGGGATGAGTCCAGTTTCCACAACTGAAAATTTCTCAACCCAGAGCTTGGCATAAGCTCTGTATCATCATGGCAAAAAACCCTGCCATGTTGCTGACCCCACGAACACTCAGCATTCTGGTCGCTGGGTGAGGCCTGGGGTCTCCACACACTTTGCTCCAAGCAGTTCACAGGATGCTGAGCAAGGCAGACAGTCTGGATAGGTGTTTGATAGAAGAGAACAGGATCTGAAGTCAGGCTTGCAGGGACCAGTTCGATGAGGAATATTTTCTAGAAAATCTAAAATGTTCGGGGAAGCTGATACTGTCTGTTAATTTTCAGAAGCTGAAGCTGCATCTTAGGGTCCTCTCAGAACCTTGAGTTTACCAGGCTCACACCCTGGATCCTGAGACTACCAGGAATCAGACTGGGCAAGGAGCTGAGGGGAATGGGGAAGAAGAGTGGGTTCCTATTTCCCGGAGCCAATGTCAGAGGTAAAGTTGGGAAGGGCTAAGGCCTTGGAGCCACTTCCTCTTTCCCACAGCATGATGTGATGTCACTTCTGCAGTCCTGGTTCCCTGCATCCCTGCTTCTTACCAGGAAACCCTGGTCAGGAGGTGTGGGAAGGAGAAGCAACAGGAGCCAAAGCCCTTGTATAACCCCCCACTCAGCCACACCTGGGGAGAGGGCGCTGAAGAACCATAGTGGGTGAGTATGGGAAGGGTTCCTTCAGACCTTAGTGGCTCACTCAGCCCCATCCTTAATGCCAAATCAAAGCCCAGCTTTAGCCTCCCACGTCATCTGTGTTCCAACCCTGATCATAAACCCCACCCCACCATACTTCCTCTTCAACTGCACACCCTACAAGGAGCCCTAATCCAGACCAAATCAACCTCGGCATCCATTAGTCCTCACATCAAGCCGCCCCCACTGGATGCTGCCCCTCCCTGGATTCCAGACTAATCCTGTGTTTTCACATCAGCTCCATTCTAACCCAGATCTTAATCAGAACCACAACTCAAACTCACTCCAAACTCCCATCGCTAGCTGCTACCTCAGTGCCACCCTAACTCACCTCCAATCCCAGTCCTTGAACCTATGCTGGTGCCCATCGCAGTCCACCCAGCCCCACCTTGGCTCACTCTTGAGCCAAGTCTTACCCTCTTTCCACCCACCCTCATTAGTGGACCCCTTTGCTACACCACTGCCTCACCTTCACCCCACATCCTTGCACCTGCACCTGTATTGCACATCCTCACCCAACTCTGCCCTTGCCCACGCTCAAACCCACTGTGCACTCAGCTAATGGAGGCCAGGGTAGAATGGACACACTGCAGACAGAGACTTCTGCAGGTACATGTACACACACATACACACATAAAAAATATGCCTCGTAAGCATTCACATGCATACCTTGTCACGCATGGATACACACATCCCTCAATGTATATATACATCGTCATACACAGACAAACACTTCAGTGTGTACACAGCACACACTTCAGCTCCATATGCATGCATTTTGATGGACACAGGCATTTGTACACAGGCGCACACCAGCAAGGAGAGCAAGTCCAATCTGGCACTGAGGACAGTGCAGGAAAACCTCATGCTACCTGATCCTGCCTGACTGGGCCCTTTGTTCCCTTATCATCAGCTCTACTCCCTCCCATGCCTTCTCCAGTATTGACTCTCCTGTCCAAGTATTGCTGCCTGCTTTGTCTTTGAACATCTGCCTGGTTTATGGAATAGTAAGATGGCAGTCCCATTGCTGTTCTTCCTCCTGGGTCCAGGGGCTCCGCTCACATGCCCAGTGCCCACTAGTGATCCCAGACAGAGGCCTGTGGGCTCGCAGGATGAGGATGGAGCATGGCTCAGACAGCCAGCTGGCTCTCAGAGCCATGCCAGGAGCTCCTGTGAAGGGAAATGTAACAAAGGGATCCTTTACTGAGGGCTTCCTGGATGACAGACATTGAGCTAAACTCATGAAAACTACATTTAACTCTCAGAACAATAGCACTGGCCCACAGGCAAGGTACTTACCTGGACTTTCACAGGGACACTGGGGATCACAGATGGGAAAATGTCTGCCCAAGTCACATACCTCAAAATGGGACAGTAGGTGGGATTTGAGGGCAGGCCCGGGAATGACCAAGATAAACCCCTCCCTAAAATCACAACCTGAAACCTCCTGGGTCTGCAGCTTTGTCTATATCCCAAACTCCCTTCCCCTGGGCTGACTTACACTCTCTTCACAAAATGGTCTGCCACTCTACCTATCTTCCTTAAAGGAATTTCCCCTCACTCCTTAGAGGAAATTCCCCCGTGCCTGCCTGAGTGCCCTGCCCTCTCCTACCCTCAACCTGATTGCCCTGTTGTCACTGTCCTGGGCTAGGTTTGGGCCTTTCTCAAGTGCAGGGTTGGGTCTTCAAGGCCTGGCCCAGAGTATGCTGACCCAGCCCAGCTGTGGGTCAAAGTGGTTCCAAGGGAGGGGCAGGACTCTGCCAGTCTCAACTGATCTCTTATCTCCTGGGGCCTTGGTCTTATCTGATGAGGTCTGACAGGCAGCAGATGCACCTCTGACAAGCTCAAGGTTACTGAGTAACCCAGGCCTCTTTAAAAGCCCCATTGTTTGCCCCCAATGTCCAGTACTGGCGAATTCTCTCCTCTGAGCACTGCTGCCATGAACACCTGCCTGCTCTCTGCGCTGTGTCTCCTAGGGACCTGGGCCACCCTGGCAGGAAGTGTGACCGTGAAGGTATGTCCCCATTCCTATGTGGTCCAGCCCACTCTCCCAAGAGAGCTCATCAGTTTTGACCGAGGTATGATGGGTAGTTGGTAGCTTCAGCTTCCAGGCAAGATCCCCTTTTCAGTCCTGCCAGCCACAGTTACCTTTCCCTCCAAAACCAGAGAGGAGAGAATCCAGGTAGACAGGAGAGAAACATCTGTTGGGCAAAGAGAATGACATTGCCTGCAGTGACCATCTGCTCCTGCCCTTGAATCTCACTGCAACACGCCAGCAATCTGGGTGCAGGAGACTAATCATTATTCTTTCTATTTTACAACGGGAGGAAATAGTCTCAGAAAGGTTCCACAACAGGCCATGGCCTAAAGCAACTCGGTGTAAATCCAGGCATTGTTCCTGAGACCTGTGCTCAGCATGAGCATTTGTCTGGGTTCCAAGAATCACATGGACATTTGGAGGTCCTGATAGATGAGTCTTATCTATCTACTTTGCAAGGCTCCCCCCCCCTCCCCACACTCCTCCCTCCCCCTCCTCCCCTCCCCACTGGCCATGGCCCAAGCTGGCACCCAGCATGGGTCTTGCTCTTTACGAGAGCCCTCTGGAAGCCCTTCATTGCTTCTCACACAAAAACTAGGCCAGAGGCTGGAAGTGAGGGCATAACACCCAACCACACGGCATTCATGTGGGCAGTCCATATGGAGCTATGATGCCTGGATCCTGGCCTCTGCATCACCCTCCTCAAAAAATAAAAATAGCATACCAGCTCTTGGTGAGGTACGTACTGTGTCCTTGGAACACCATGCCCATGTCTCCATTCTGCAGAGGGCAGTATGCAGAACCTAAGGTCTCCACTGTGCTTAATGTTAGCTCTGACTCACACTGACATCAACCCCCCACCTTCCCCCCACCCCCTGCCAAGCAGAAACTCTCCTTTCACTGCATGCACAGATACCAATCTGTTTTCTGGGGATGCAGGCAGCCTCAGCCTGGCCTCATATTCTGCTCTGACTGTCTCTTCCAGGATGGAGAGTTCTCCTTTCCTCTGGAGTCAGTGAAGAAGCTTAAAGACCTTGAGGAGCTCCCAGAGCCCAGGCTTGGCAGCCGCAGGAAGCTTTTACCCATGCTAAGGGAGCCTGTTGCTCCCAGGCTCTGCAGTTATGCTAATTTTCCAGAAGCACTCAGGCCACTGTGCAAGGAACCCAATGCAGAACAGATTCTGCAGAGACTGGGTGAGTAGCTTTCTCTCTGCTGGCAGCACTGGGAAGTTCTCTGACTGGTGCTCTTGAGAAAGAGCTGTGCTCTAATTTGGGGGTGGGGTGGGGGACTCAGAGGAGAAGCTTAGCTCTGATTGGTGGGTCCAGCACACTGCTTCAGCTTTTGGCACCAAGGAGAAAGTGATTGGGAGCATGCACTCCACTGGGCTTATGTATCTCCTTGCTGGCTTAGAAGCTCCTCTTGGATTAGCTGGCTTCAGTGGTCTTTGTAAGCTTGTTTGAGGCAGAGAGCTCAGCTCCACTTGATTCTCCTGGGGGCTGGTTGCCAAGAGGTTTGGGAGATGGGAAGCTGGTTGGTTCTCACCAGACCTCATTTCTCTTGTCTAGAGGCCATCGCTTATGACCCAGGCATGTGTGAGATCTGTGCCTATGCTGCCTGTACTGGATGCTAGGTTTCTGCCTCTTCCCCAGCCCACAAAGAAGCCCTTTCTTCTACTGGAAGGTCAGCCTGTGATACTCCAGGTATTAGCATTTCAACATACCCTACTGGGAGTACGGAGAAGTGAAGAGAGAACAGCTCAGAAAGTAGCTGAGGAAGTGGAGGACCTGGGCGAAGCTTTCGAAGATCTGTGCCAGCCCCCAGTGAATAAATTAGTTTCAAGTACTCCCAATGTTGCTTCCATTTCTTTCTTCATCCATAAGTCCAGCATCGTCCAATATTGTGGATACTGCTCTGGGAAACTCAAGGTTTAGTGTGCAAAGTAGAAAGACCCTAATTCCCTTCTCTAGCATCCCACTCACTTGGGGCTACCACCATACACAGGTATAGAGGGAAACCTGTATCTCTAAACCACGACCCAAATGGGTGGATTCTCTGCTTTTCTTCCAAGTCTGCCATGATCACTGAAGTCACCAACCCACCTGTGAGCACAGGAATCCATCAGGTCTGGTCTGGATGGCCAGCACAGACACTTGATGCTCTTGTTTTCAAGGTACACAGAATCTAGCTTCTTCTAACCATCCAGGTTTGCCTGCTCCTGCTACCCTGTGCACTGACTTTTCTCCACAATCTTGATCAGGTAGACTACTCAAGCTTCAAGTCTTCATTTCATTGCCTTTCCTCAAGGCCTTTTCCCTGGCTACTTGATCAAAATGTTCAAGTACTCTGTCCTTGGAGCTCCCAGAGTATCCTGATTGCCCACACCCTTTGCACAGCTCTGTCTACCCTATGGTATAATGGCTTCTGTGCCTGGGAAATCTCTCTGCCCCCAGACAGATGACATAAGGATATAATAGGGGGAAAAAAACAAACCTAGGTCCGAGCTCCAGGCCTTCCACATCCTATAGGATGTTAGGGAAGTCACTGTTTTCTGTGTCCCAGTCTTCTCTGTAAAACCAGAATACTAATAGTGTGCACCTCTGGTCTGGGTGAAATAATGCATTTAAAGCTCCCATTTCAGGCCTGACACAAACATAAATGGAATTCAATACATGTTAAAAACAAACAAACCAAAGAAAGGGGGATCAAGGGTCAGGCTGTGAATGGTTCAGACAAGAGTGAACAGGTGTGGTGTGGAAATAAGGCCAGTTAGCCAAGGGAAAAGAAAACAGGTGGCAGCCAGGGGGTACGTCTTGGGGAGTGGAGTAAAAGGGAAATGCCACTTGGGGGTTCAAGCAGAGTTTCTGCAGGCTGTGAAATTTGGAGAATAACCTCTTCTGGCTGAAGTCTTGGAAGACTTGATGAAGAAGGAGATGAAGTATATTTTCCTTAACATTTGGAGCTTGCTTTAGGGTGGATGGATCTCAAAACCAGGGTGAATGAGGGAAGAAAAACTTTCAGAAGGTGAGGATGGGAGGAACACATAAAGGCGCTGGGCTAGTTCAGCCTGGACAGTGTAGAGTCAGGGAAGGAGACAGGACTGACCCTGATTTAGAAGTTGTATGCCCCTCTCTGATCAGAAATGAGAATAACAAAATCCGCCTCCCAAGGTTGTTGAGGGATCTGATGAGCTGTATTGTGGGTAAAATCATTTAATGCTTAAACTCTTAAGCCAGACTCTCTGGCAATGAATTCTGTCTCTGCCTGCTATAGTTTTGTGACTCCCGGGAGGTTACTTCTCACTTTCCTCGTCTAAAAAATGTAGATGATAAGAGCCATAATCTGTAGAGTCAAATAAAGATGAAGTGAGGTAATAGTGGAAAAATTCTTAGTATCCCACTAATCCTGGGCAACCAGTGGATCAGAGAAGAAATGCAAAGAAAAATTAAAAGGTATTTATAGACTTACAAACAACACAACACAGCAACTATACCAACACTTACCAGATACTGAAAAAGCAGTTCAAAGAGGGAAGTTTATAGTCATACATGCTGACACGGAAAAGGAAAGTCTACACTAAGCAAGGCCAACATTACACCTCAAGGAACTAGAAAAAGAATAAAATATGGCCAAAGTTAATAAAAGGAAGGAAACAACAAAGACTGATGCAGAAATAGATGAAGCAAAGACTCCAAAAACAATGGGAGAGATCAGCAAAAGTAGGAGTTGGATTTTTAAAAGATAAACAAAATGAACAAACCTTTAGTTAGACTGAGAACAAAAGAGCAGATACAAATAATAGCACCGGGGACTCCCAGGGCTGTGTCCTCTTGCTATAGAAACTCTGTTTTGCTGTTTTCCTGTTGCTTTCAAATAAACTTGATCTGTCTGCTTGAACCAGACACACAAAATAATAATAGTAATAATAATAGTAATGATAATAATAAATTAACTTTAAAATAACAGCACTGAGCTTTCCTTCTAAAATCAGGAGTAAGGTGGGATGCCTCACTTTTCCTACTTTTAGTCAATGTAGTGCTAGAAAATCCTAGGCACAGCAACTAGTCAAGAAAAATAAAGGCATCTAACACAGAAAGATAGAAGGTGAATTGTCTCTGCAGATTATACGCTCATACACGGAAGACTCCACCAAAAATAAAAGCCTTGTTAGAGCTAATAAATCTGGTAAAGTTACAGGATATAAACAGAATAGAGAGACTAGAAATCAATTTACAAATGATGCTTCACAAAAATGACAAAAATCACACAAGGAAAGAACAGACTTGAATAAATGGTGACAGGGAAATAGGATGTCTAGATGCAAAAGAATGAAATTAAAATCTTATACAAAATTCAATTCAAAATGGATTAAAGGCTTGAATGTTAGCGCTGAAACTACAGAACTACTAGGGAAAAAAGAAGAGTACATTTCCTGGCACTGGTCTTGGCAAGTGTTTCTTGGATGTGACCCCCAAAAATACAAGTAACAAAAATAGACAAGGGGGAATGCATCAAACTGGAAAACATTTGCATGGCTAAGGAAATAATCAGCAGAATAAAGAAACAACCTATAGAATGAGAGAAATATTAATGAAGCATACATATCTGATGAAGGTTTAATATTCAGCATATTTAAGAACCTGAGTAACTCAGCAGTAAGAAAACAATCCAATGTTAAAGCAGGCAAAGGACCTGAGAAGTTTTTCTTTTGACACACACTGGGAAAATGCATATTAAAACCATGATGACATGTCACTTTACATCTCTTCTAAGGGGTCTCTTAGAAGAAGAAGAATATTAGCAAGGATGTAAAGAAAGGGGAATAGTACGTGCTTTTGGTAGAATATAAATTATTGCAGCCACTGTGGAGCACAGCATAGACAAGCCTCCCTCTAATTAAAATTAGATCTACCATATGATCCAACAAGTCCACCTCTGGACTTGTTGGATCTTCATATCATCCAAATGATATGAAGTGTATTGAGAGATAGGTTCCCTGCCATGCTCATTGCAGTATTACTAAGGCATCCATGTATAACTAAAGCATGGAATGAAGAAGATAACCTTAATTATACAAGAGAATACTCTCCTCTTCAAAAGAGGGGAATCCTGTCATCTTTGATCAGGTGGATGAACTAGGAGGACATTTTGCTAGGTGAATAAGCCAGGTACAGGAAGACAACCCTAGTTATTGGTGGAATCTAAACCATCTAACTTCTGTTCAGATAATAGAAGGTAGCAACTGGAGGTGGGGAGCAAATGGAGAGAAAAGAGGAAGGGCTGGGAAGGTGGCTCAGTGGTAGAGTGATTGCCTTGCATGCATGAGGCCCTGGGTTTGATTCCTCAGCACCACATAAGCAGAAAAAAAGCCAGAAGTGGCACTGTGGCTTAAGTGGTAGGGTGCTCACCTTGAGCTGAAGAACTGAGGGACAGTGCCCAGGCCCAGAATTCAGGCCCCACGACCGACCCCCCCCCCCAGAAAAAAGAGGAAGAAGGCAGGGCACCTCTGGTTTATGTCTGTAATCCTAGCTGAGATCATAGTTCAAAGCCGGCCTGGGAGGAAAAGTCCATGATACTCTTATCTCCAATTAACTAAAAAAGGAGGAGAAAAAGAAGAAGGAGAAGTTGGAGAAGGAGGAGAACAAGAAGGAGGAGGAGGAGGAGGGAGAAGGAGGAAGAGGAAGGATGGAAGGAAGGAAGGAAGGAAGGAAGGAAGGAAGGAAGGAAGGAAGGAAGGAAGGAAGAGAAAGAGGAAAGGAGGGAAAGAAGGAAAGAAAGAAAGCAGCTGAAAGTGGCTCAAGTGGTAGAGCACTAGGTTTGAGCAAAATATCTCAGGGACAATGCCCAGACTCTGAGTTCAAGCTCCAGGACTAGCACAAGAAAAGAAAAGAAAAGAAAAGAAAATGGCGCTGGGAAGATGGCTCAGTGGTAGAGTGCTTGCCTTGCATGCATGAGGCCCTGGGTTCGATTCCTCAGCACCACATAAACAAAAAGAAAAAAGCCAGAAGTGGCACTGTGGCTCAAGTGGTAGAGCACTAGCCTTGAGCTGAAGAGCTGAGGGACAGTGCCCAGGCCCAGAGTTCAGGCTCCACAACCGGACCCCCCCCCCAAAAAAAAAAAAGAGAAAGAAAAGAAAAGAAAGAAGGAAGGAGGGAGGAAAGAAGAAAGGAAGGAAGGAAGGAAGGAAGGGAGAGAAGGGAGGGAGGGAGGGAAGGAAGGAAGAGAAGAAGGAAGAAGAAGAGAGGAAGAGCAACTGGAAGAGAAGGAAGAAAAGTGAGGACAAAGAGGAAGTAAAAAAAAAAAAACCACAATAAAGCTGCCATGAAGCCTGTAGGGCCACTGCTCCTCCTCTGTTTGGGGACAATGGCACAGCCGCCTGGCTGCATGTGGTCAGTGCTCCTGCAATGTCAGTTCCCCATGCTATCTCTACCAAGAGGCTGCACAGTGCAGCTGTAAGGGGCAGTGAGTGATGCATCAGGTTGGTGCTTGGGGTCAGGTTAGACTTGAGAGATAGATGGCACTGGGGAGTCACAACAGGGCAATGAGCCCTGTCAGAGAAGTGCCCATGAAGAAAGCTCTAGTCTGGCCTCAGTAGCGGTAGAAAGTGAGCAGTAGCATCCAAGAGAGCTATAGCAGGCCTGGCAGAATCCCAGCCAGCATCTTGAGGGAGGGGGAGGAAGAGGCTGTGAGCCTCACTAGCTAAACTGGGCAGTCAGTCCAGGCAGCTGCCCAGGATCCACTATGGCCCTAGGGAACTTTCAGATGCAAGGACCTCTTGCGTCCTGCTCTCCTCATTCTGGTTGCCCAGCATGA